TGCTCACCTCGGCCGGGTGGCGTCTGCCGCCTTCTGGCATGCAACAGATCAGGCTGGCCTGAAAGGGGCCCAGCAAATGCCCAGCTTACTGCAGCTCTTCGGTTGCCATTGACTAGAAACGTGCCAGTCCCTGGGTCCCTGCTCGCCCCTCACACAAGCGTTTGTGGTTCTGGCTTCAATCATTGCCCACCTGAAGGGGCCTGGAACGCCCTGAGCACTAGCGAGGATGGATCCCCTCTGTTTGGAAAAGCAGAGGGAGATTCAGAAGAGCACACAGACTGAGGCGAGACTGCTTCAAACACAGCAACTTCTGCGCGTGTTAGGAAAGCCTGAGCGAGCCTAGAAGGAACTGCGAGGGAATACAGTTACTGCAGTCCTGATGACACAAGTGTTGAAATAGTTTCTTTCCCTGAGGGACCTAAAAGAGACAGTGAGGCCAGCCTCTCCAGCAGAAGCGGCTGAAGTTCTACTGACTTCTTAATGGAATAGCTTCTGTTCTGTAACATCATCCCCCTGGTTTCAAAGTGATTTGCTTGGCTCGTGAAAAACAAGTTTCCTTTTACACACACGCAGCCTCACACATCACACTCTCCCCCTTCTCCCCTCCCGCCTCTCTCCAGCACCATCCCTCTGGTCGTCTTCAGTTAGGAAAGCAACAGGGAGTCAGTTTTATTGCAGCGAACAGCAGTACAAGGCTCTGCTTTGAGTTTATCCACCTAAACTGTCACGATGAAGTTTGGACTGGAGAGCAGCCTTGTCCACAGTCTCATTTGAGACATGGCAGTCTCCTAATGGAGCTTACAATACAGATCCAGGAAACAAAGCCCGCTTCTTTCCACCACAGCCTGCAGCCACCCCCAGTCAGAGGACACAGGGGGCCTTCACTGGCACAGGTGCACGAGTGGATAAAGCCATGGAGAAGAAGTGTCTGAGTGACAGCTGAACTAGGTCTTTTAACTAGGCTCAAGGCCTTTGATTAGATTAGCCACAGCTTTGCAGGGAAGTCAGCTGTTAATCATTTACTGCAGTACAAACAGGCATCTTCGGTACCAGCTCCACAAGTCTCCAGGTACAGCAAGGGGGTCCCTCACTGCAGGCCAAGAGCTCTTGGAGGGGGTGCAGAAGAGGCACCAGAAGAAACTCCTACTGCAAACACAACAGCCTCAGGTATTTATAAAATTGCATACAGCTCTCTGATTTCAGGAGATTAACTGTGGTTAGCAAAAGAGACAGGAACTTTCTAGGGCGTACAGTCACGCAGGGCTTCTGCCTTTGGGACTACAGAACTAGTATCTGGGCTGCCTCCTTTTTAAAGGCGAAGGAAGCAATCCAGAATGGCTTTCATGTCCTGTATGCCTGTTGGCTAGAGACTGGGCATGGGGATCTGCCATCATTCCAGAAAACAAAGCATGAACTGAATATATTTGGCTGCTGAGACAGAAACAAAAACTTCAGCAAACTAAAGCGTGAGCTTGTGCTCCTAGTCAAATGTGACTTGCTGGGGATGAAACACCTTGTACATCACTAATCCTCTTCCTTACAGTATTAGGGATACAGACATAAGGGGCAGCAAGTCAAAGAGATTTTCAAAAATAGCCAGGATCTCTTCCTGTATTATGTCTGCAGTCATATTTGAGAGAAACTGTGAGATATAATCCATCCTTTCCCTTGAGAAGCAAAGAAGCTTTAGTAAAACCACAAGATGCTTGCAGAGATACTTGATGTTCTTTAGAAAGCTGATAGCCAAGTCATTATGCAAAGTATTAGTGAAAGAGCAAGTGTGTGGAACCCACTGAGATCCCAGTTTAAATTATTGCTGGCCCTAAGTACTTCACAGGAGGAAAACTTAGGCTTCCATTGCAGAGTAACAGAAAGCGTTACTAAAGCAGACTCTGTTAACAGGAGACCTTTTTTACGTAACGACTATTCTAAGCCCTACGGGAGCAACAAGTTGTACATGAAGATCTTTGCTTATTGTTGGTGGGGGTTTTATTTGTTTGCTTTTAAATAAGTGTCCATTTCCTCTCCAGTGTGTTCTCAGAGTTTAAGTGCCCAGCTCCTTTTTAGAGATCTTTCCAAGGGTATCAAGCAAGTTCTTCCACTGAATACTTGTCTTTCACGTATAGGCTGTACAGTTGACAGATGAAGGGTTCATACTGAACATGCCGGGAGAGACACTGTATTATATTATTAAAAATATTGATAAACTATGACTAAAATAAAGGTCAACTGCCAAAATCTTGTAAAGGCAGAAGCTTTCCTCTTCACATCTCTGCAGATCTGATGGTGAAACTGGCCTCAGCTATCTTCTGGTTAATGGTCCCATTTCTGCGGAGGGTGGCTCTCCCTTTTGGAAGAGGGATGCCTGCAGGCACAGACAGCACGCCTGCCTGCGCTGCTTTTGGGACTGCGGCTCAGAGCATAGAGAGGCTACCCCAACCCCTGACACTGCTCTTGTCTGCCTCCAGCAGGGTGGAAGCCAGCATGGCATCAGTACAAGAGGCACCCTCAGTTCTGGAAGACCTGAAGAGACTGATTCTAACAAGCGACTGGGCTCTCGGAGGGCTAGTGGTGATTGGTGCCTTCTGTCTTGGTTTTGTTGCTCTCCTCTTATTTGCTGCCATCTTTGGGTGCTGCTCATCTCCAAGGCACAAACAGACTGGCGCATAAACAGCGAAGCTGAGGTGCAGTACTTGGAGGCCTGCAGCTAAGCAAGAATCAGCCCAGCTACAACCTGATTGCGTTGCTCATAGAAAGCTTTCTCCCCGTCTCTCCCTGGGTAGTTATTTCTCCCCTGCATCAACAGCAAGGCGCCGATGCCAGCAAGTTGTTCTGCAGGTCCACAGCAAACTCAAGACATAAGGCTGGCTGTACTCAGAAACTGTATGACTAGCCAAATACCAAAGTCAACTCACCCCTGCCTGATTTTCATCTTTCAAGCAAAACCACCGGTTAGAGGCGGCAAATAGTCAGCTGCCGCCTAAAACTGATAAAGATTGCTGCTGCTGCTGCAGTTACAAGGGGTTTTTTCCATCTTGCAAATGGGCAACCGGAAACTCTGACCAGCAAAAGCTCTGTCTAAGCCCACTCTCTAAAAGCAGCTTATGCCATTGTTCTCCTGTCATACTCGGACAATAGCCTAAATATACTATGCAGAAACTTGCTTGCCAGTATACAAGTCTGTCTTTATTTGTTCTTATTTAGAACATTGCAAGGTCAGAGTTTCAGGTTTGCTTTCACTGTTTGGATAGTGAATAGAACTGTATTAATTCAAAATGTAAAAAAGAAATACAACGTGGCCTTTCTTCACACAGCATCTTAGTCTCCTGTACAGTTACGAGCAGGGAAGCCAGTCAGTGGTGCTGCAGTATGGGACTCGGGCACGCATGCGGCATGTTATACAGTAGGAAGAATGTACCAGGCTGGGGGAGGGAAGATAAAGTATGGGAGACGTGTGATTTCTAATTAGGTCAGTGATATTCCCTTATGGAAATCTCTCTTTTATGTACCCAGTGAAATCCTATTTCCATTACTATTCATCCAAGCAAAGGAGAATGTTTCTCTCTGTCCTTGCTCAGTTATTCCCTCACTGCTGCAGTGCAATTCTAGAGAAGGTCCTCACTTCAGAGAGCAGTCAGGTTCTTTGTAGCCTGCACAAAGTGGGAGATGCTGTAAGGTGGTTACACGGAGCCTAACTCATGCCCTTGCTGGGACGCCACCCTGCAATGTCCTGTGACTGCTTCTGGCTTGCGCAAGGTTAGTTCAGTGATCCCACTCCAGCTCTTATGGCACTAGTGTCCACTCCAAGAAATGACTGTCACGACTAACTCTACTGATAACCAGCTTAGGAATCAAGGAGCAATAGATCCCAGACGAGGTTTCCTGAGGTTAGCATCTAACCAGATGCATACAGCTGCCTCTCAGGTTATACAAAACCCAGACACAAACAGCCAGCTGGCCACTCTCGCTCAGAGCTGGTGACACGCACCAGAAGGAGCAGAGCTGCTCAGCCAAGTAAGTGGATCAAACTCTTATAGCAAGAAGCCTCCTAGTAGCTACTTCCCAGAATCACCTTGACTTTGGGCAAAGAAGTGTCACCTTCAAGTGCCCCAGGACCCAGTGTTGTGCTGTACTTCAGTACAAGCAAGACTTTCCCAGAGCACCCCCATAAAAAGAGGGTTTACCAAACGTGACCACGAGGAGAGAACATGCTCACCAAGGCATCAGGAAAGAAGCACGTTACATTCACACGGAAAAAGTCGCCCTAGACACAGGTGTGAAAAATGAAACAAAATGCAGACTTGAAAGGAAGACACAGGTTGACCATTTTCAGTTAGTGAACACATACTGCTCTCTTACTGGCAACATTATAGCTTTGATGTCTTATCCAGCACAGAATAGCAATTAGTACAATTACAGCTTACAAGTCATGAACTACACCTGAACAATGCAGATTGCGGTTGCTAGTCTGCATTTAGATTGGGCACATCCATAATTTGGGCCTGTTTCTGAAACATTCTAAGCACCATCAGATCCTCCTAAGGTCAATGAGAACCACGGCTACCTAGTACTTCGCAGAGTGGAGCCCCTGAGATTTAGAGAAACATCAAATCTAAATGCTTCCATCCCATGCTGATCAGACAGTCTGTTTCCTTAGAAGAGAGATGATGTAGTGAAGGAGCAGAGTCAAAACAAAAGCAAATGCAACTAAGCCAACCCATCATCAAACACAGTAAAACTCATAGTCATAGGAGTTCCAGTTTAACATCACTGTGTCACTTGGTCAGGCTCCAGGACCAACATCTCGGTTAACTCGGAGGCAGGAGTGACTGAGAAGTGTCTCAGGGACACCTTCCTCAGTCCAGACAGCAAAATTTCAGGCGATTCATTCAGTGTTTCCTTTTTCCTGGACATGCAAGATCTCAGCCATAACAGTACCTCGGAAGGGACAGCGCATGGTTTCCCCAACATTAAACAGTGTTTGCAAGAAGTACACTCACCCCAGCTCCTCGCAGAAGTTCACAATGGCATCAAAAGCTGTCATCGCTGCTTTGTCAGATTCTTTTAAGGTGCCTTTTTTTTCCTGAAAGTAGATGGGGACAATAGCTGTAGTCTTCAATTTAAATATAAACAGATAAAGTAACTCTAGCGATGACCAAATCCAGCCCTTCTGATCAATATGGCAAACGGGTACCGACACCGCCCTGCCTCCGCTCCCCCGTGCCTCTCTAACGGAGCTGGAGCTGGGTCTGGCAGCCCGCTCCCTTCCTGCTTCGCTCCCTTCTGCTGTCCCTTGAAACAGGGCGACAGACAGCTCCAGGCCCAGACAAACTCATTTCATCTTTGCACATTCAGAGGTCACTGCAGGCAAGAGGCAAACCAGATCAGAGCACAGGCAGCGTATCTCGGCAGGTGGATACTATTCTGCAGATCTTACCTGGATGTTAGAGAGCTCCTTCTTAATCAGGAAGCTGACTTGATCCCGGTCATTCCTTGAGTAATAGAGGCGGCAGCAGGATGGCTTCCCATCTCTCCCAGCTCTGCCAGACTCTTGGTAATATCCAGCCATTGACTTAGCGATATTCCAGTGGGCAACAAATCTGCATGTGGTAAGACAAGAGGAAACGTAAGGCTGCAGGTTTCTCGGATCACTGCATACATGGGTGTGTTGTTCGTGGACATGAACAACAGCAAAAAATAGGGCAGCAAAAGCATAAAAGACAGAGGACTTAGCAGAGCAAGGGATTTTGCACACAGAAATTTAAGTCCTCTTAATAGGAGACACAAGGACAGCAGCAGAGCTACAAGGAAACAAATGCATCTGAACAACGTGTGAGCAGGATGCCCCCCCAAATGGATGGAAATGAACGGGCACATGAGTATCCCAAACGTGTGTGCAATTGTACAGCTACGAAGAGTGAGAAAAAGGACATTGATTTAAGGAGTTTGGGAGATTTTACCATAAAACAGAGCATTAATTAAAAAGTCCTATTTATTTTGTGGAGCACAATTTGAACACTACAAAACACAATTTGAAATACTCGATTGTAAAAAGACACTTCTTTGCCAACAAAATCTGCATGGGAAATTCTGCCTCACCAAGCTCACTTGTTGGGCACCCTTCCCAGCCAGCAAATACGACTACGAATCGTTACTAAACTGTACGTAGTCTCTGAAGGAAGGTTTTCAACACGCCACTGCAGGACTCCTTTAAACCTGCTTGCACCTGAATATTCAGCAATTCAGCTTATACCTGTGCTGAGAAGATTTTACAGTACGGTAATGCTGCCAATGTTTTAAATACCAGTCTGCCTGAACACCAGCGTGTCCCAGAGGCAGGTCTGATGCATATGGGTGGGGCAAAAGATTAAATGACAAAAGCAAGCAAACATGTTTCTTCAAACACAAACACTCCAGGAACAGGCCAGGCAGGAAGCATCGGAGCCCTACACATTTATTCCCCATCAGGAAGTTTACTGAAGGAATTGATAAATAATCTCAAGCAAAACTGAATTAGCAGTGAAGAGAGAGGAGCAGGTTCCATCAGAAAAAGAGACAACACCTTTTGCCCAGAAGAGTCACCTCCAGAGCTTGTCAGACCTGATCTTACTCGATAACATACGCATGAATGCTCAGAACTCTGCCAACAGAGCGAAGGCTAAGCAGCAGTGCCTTGTTGCCTGAGCTCGGGTATAATGTCCTTTAAACTATTAAAAAACATCCTGTAAAGAGTCATTTTAACTCCATTCCTTGGAAACTAACCGGATTACAAGCACGTTTCAGCTATATTTCACTCTCAATCAGCCCTGTGCATTTTGGTTACTCTGCCTTTTGTCATGACCGCTGTACTGAACAGGGCAGAGTGGTTTCAGCAGGTCATTAATTCATGCTGCTGCCCCAGGAGCCTTCTCATTTCTGTTGGGTAACAGGCATCAAGCAGTAGAGTCGTCTGTCATTGCTACGGGATCCTGTTATCTGTCAGCACGGGGACACAGACAGAAGGATGGCACGGTTGTGAACCGATGGGATTGTCCCAGTGATGTCCTGCCCCTCTCCCACGGTGCGCAGAGCAACTGCTTTGCGTGGATCTGAGAGTAAAGATCAGGTGTGCGGAGCTGTGTGAGCTGCACCGGAGTTACCCCTCTACTAAGTGATCCCAGCTCACAACACTCAGCACAGCTATACTGCAGTGCAGGAATTCTAACAACACAGAGCAACTATGGTGACAGTTACAAGTCCCAGAGGAACAGCAACTGAAAACATGTGCAAAGTTTCTGTCCTTGGACTACAGCTGTATTTTTTATATGGTTATTGCCATTTGTGAACTGCTATTTTTTTTTCCCCATTGCATTGCAAAAGGAGATCTCTAAGAAAAGCTGGCTCTGACTATTTTGGTAGAGGGTGTATGAATTATTTTAGGTTCAGATTTTCTTGTCACTGCTTTTTAACAGCAACTATTGCACTAAGGGAAGTGAAAGGCACAGCTGTGATTGCATCGAGATGGCTCTTTTTGAAACCCCGGAGGGTGTGGCAAAAAACAAGCATTCCTCCAGTTTTGGTTTTGAAGATGACTGGCAAAGAGGAGCTCTGGTGCCTTGTTTTTAATTTCTTTACAAAACCCTTCCAGGTTTGTTTTTGCTGCTTCTAAGATAAAAACCCTCCAGCTCTGTTTTTGTGGGTTTTAGCAAGTGTTCATCAGGCATTTGAGTCAGATCTATCCGGTAACAGAGAGACAGAGGCTTTCCCTTCCCACTGCTCAGGTTTCAGGCTCTGGTGGTGCACAACACAGCCTCACCCACCTGACGTTTGCTTTGTCTACTCCCATTCCAAAACTGATGGTTGCAACAATAACAGGGATCTTCTCCTCCATCCATTCATTCTGGATTGAAGTCCTGTCAGCTGCCTTGAGTCCTGGGAAAGGAAAAAAGAGGAGAGGAAACAACAACAAAACAAAAAAAGAAAAAAAAGAAAAAAGAAGAGAAACGATGATTTTCTTCCTCCTCCATTCCCCCATTGCAAGCAACCCCCTCACTAAAGCTGACTGATGTACACGCTCCTCTCTGCCCATGTTTAAATTGGCCTGCGATCAAGCAGAAGTCAGCAGCAGCTGTTTCTATTCCAAAGAGAAAAATTCAGATCCCTCCTGGGATAAAAGCAGTTGTTATATTTAGGCCATGCAAGATCCAACAAAACCAACAGTTGTGGAGTGAAGGGAGTGCCGTTCTGTCGAAGGCCCCGCACTTACCTCACGGACCTGCCGCCGCGTGAGCATCAGACACGTTGCAGACCATGCCTAGAAAGCTGTTTGCTAGGTAGCCCCAACCCAGGCCTTAACACAGCAAGTACAGTTGGGTTCTACCAGCTACCGAGAGCTGCAGATGCAGCTTCCAGTACCTGCGTGATACGCCTTGGCTTTCACCCCTCGGTAGCACAACTCAATGGCCAGCTGGTCACACACATCCCTCATCCTGCAGTACACGATGCCACAACCGGAGTACACCTGGGCAGACAGGAGAGAAAGTGCGTGAGGCTGAAGCCAATCAACAAAGCTGCAGTCATCAGTATGGCGGAGACAGGAGGGATGCCTAAAGCTCATCCCTTCCCCAAGCCGATTCCCCAGCAACTGAAAGATACTGTTGCAGCGCAAAAGTAAATCAGACATAAAGAGAGTTTCCTCACAGGTCCAACAAGGCCTAGCATCAACCAAATACAGTCCCCCAGTCCTCTCCCAGTGGGCACAAGGCAGGAAGCAGTCTCCCTCTGCCTTACAGATAAACTCAGGTGCAGAAGTTATAACCGAGTTGCTGAGAGTTGTTTTGGAAATTAGCGTTAGAGCAGGAAATCCAATACAACCCTCCAAATGCTTCTGTTCATCCTCGCCACGCTAGAAAAGCGGAACACAATCGAACGTACAATGATTGTCTGGGAGATGACAAACCAAGACAGAAATGCTAGTCGCATATTCCTAATTCATTTTCTTTTAGACCAACCCCTTTCCGAGGACACCTCCGAAAGGAATGCAGGCTTCGCATTCTACCTATTTTAGAGGAACTAAAAAACATATGTGAGCACTTTTAGAGAAACTAAAAAAATACATGTGAGCACTTTCCTTCCAGGGACCTCCTCCTTCCCTGCCACAGACCTGTCGGGGCCATACCAACCACTGGAAGGTCAGCGGCCGTTAAGGTAGATTTTGTTCGGTTTAGCCCTCTTCCCCAAATGTAAAACCTACCCCAGTGGTGTTCTTCACTTCAAGCGCCTTCAGACAGAAATCCTTCAAGTTGCCATATGGATCCGTCAAGAGCTCTTTGAACTGCACATCATAGAACAAGTTAGATCTGAAGCAAGGAGTCTTAAACGTGGAAAGCGGCTGCTTTAACTTAAGCGCTGCCACAATGTCCTCCTGGACCTGCTTGGTGGCGGTGGCAGTCAAGGCAACGCACGGCGTATTGGGTATGCGAGTGCGCAGGGTGCCCAGCCGTAGGTAGTCGGGTCGGAAGTCGTGTCCCCACTGGGAGACGCAGTGCGCTTCATCGATTATCAGGTAGGACAAGAGGTTTCGGGACACCAGGGAGTTCAGCGTAGGTTGGAAGGAAGAGGCGGCTGCCATCTCTGGGGTGATGTACAGGAGCTTTACTTGGGGCTTCTCACTTGCTAAGTCAGCCAGGATGGTCTTCTTTTCCTGGGCAGAAAGCTTGGAGTTCAGAGAGCAGGCTTTGATCTTCAGAGCCAGCAAGTGATCCACTTGATCCTAGAGTAAATAGAAAATTAAAATTAAATGAAAAGCAAACGGATGTAAAGAAAGCCACCATCACCCAGACAGACTACTAGGGAGATCCAGGTGAGGCCCCAACTTCCACCTCCAGGATCGAGTCTCAGGACAACATACACCTACAGTCTGAGTCCTTAGAACTTCAACTCTAGATGCCTTCATCTTCAACTGTGAGCGTATCTGTCCAGCTCTAACACCCAACTGCATTTTTGTGCATCCATTCACTTTAAGACAGTCGTTTTGCTGCTAGGGAACACTAGCAGGGGTCTGTGCAAAATAACTCATCATAGCCACAGTGAGCTGAAACGAGCCACCAACGCGTCTCGGGATTTACACAATCAAGTTGTCACAGATGGAAAATGAATACCACCGCCCAACAAAACCAGAGTGCATTTCATTCCAGAATAGCTAAAGGATGTTATAAACACAGCGAGACAGGACAAAATACAAGAATCATGCAAATCGCCACTGCAACAGAACAAGTCTGGATGAGAATCACGCCATGAAAAGCGAGAAAACATGGCATCACATCCAGATACATCCAGGCGAGCCCTGGGCGCACAACTTCACCTCCCTACCCCTACACTGAGCTGTGCACCTGCACTTAACCAGCACATAACATTTCAGAAGACATGAATAGTCCTGAAAAACGGGTATCTCATTATTTCACTCAATAACTGGTTTCAGTGATTGATTTAACATCCACTGTTTTCTGTTCATGAAGTCAACTCTCAGCCTTCCCTATAATAAACTACACAGACTAAGCTCTCGAAGCTTGGCTACACTGAAATACGTCATGGTGGTTTCGGGCACAGCCACCCCATCTCAGGGCTTGATGAGGAGACCTCTGAAGGTTCACTCCAGCTCTGTTCCCTAAGACTCACGGAGCCCATCTCAACCTGTTTGTCACTCCGACACATTCTGCTTCACCTGCAAATCTTACAGTGGTAACTTTTTTAACCTCCATTTCACTGATAAAATATTGCCTGTGCCAGAGTTTAATTAGAAATCCTCTCACTTGGAACAAATTCACTATTTATAACTCCTTTCTGAGATGTATCACCAAGCCTGCCTTTAATTCTTAAAATGTATTACGTTAAGAATGTAAAGTAGTTAAAAAGAAAAACCACCACAACAACCAAACCAGCAGCCTACGACACCAGATATCACGCAGTGTTTATCAGATGCTTTACAGAAGTCTAAGCCATGCTACGGCTGCTCTTACAGGGGGGTATTTCTCCCAACAGGTGAGGAAACAGTAGAAAAGGCAAAACACAGAAAAAAAGGGTCTCACAGATGAAAGTGCTGAAGGAGCAGCTCTGCTAAACCAGCTTCTTCCCATGACAGAGAGACTGACGGCAACAAAAAAAACATTTTGATGCAGAACAAATTATGCCTTCAAAGGCAACTTCATCAGTCCCAGAGTTATTACTTTACAGGTAAAACGGCAGTTTTCTCCTGGGGAAAGATCCAGTTTGGTCCATTTGAGGTACTCTACTTTGTTGCTTCTGTATAGCACACTGGAGGTAAAAGACAACTGGAGAAAATGGAGAAAGGCTCCGTTATAAAAACCACCAGGTCATTATTAAAGAAGAAAAACCTCCTTTTAGAGAGCTGCATAGTATCATACCAGAGTTACTCTGCTCTGCAGCTAAGTTGCAGTCTCTTCACCTATCCCCAGGGTAAGGAAAACACACCGAGACATCAAGACGAGAATCCAGGGGCAGGCCAACAGCAGAGACTCGTGGACAGAAAGACAAGAGGCAGCCGAGCCTCCAGAGTCTCCCGACCCCCTTCACTGACTGCTTTTCCACAGCTAACAGGAGAGAGTTACCTGAATCAGTGCAATCAGAGGTGAAATGACAATGGTGATGCCCACTGCCAGAACTGCAGGAAGCTGGTAGCACAAGGATTTCCCTGCCCCTGTGGGCATGCATACAAAGACATCCTTCTCTCCTGCAAAGACAACAGAAGAAAGCTCAAGGCCACTGAGCGGTGGTGAGTTCCCAGGGCTCTGACTGGAGGGGTGGGCAGAAAGGCTTGTCATCTGTGAGAAACAGCATTTGTATGTGCGTGCCATGTGGCATACCAACAAAAGACACTTCATTTTAGGTTCTAAAAGCACAGGAATACTTTGCATGCCTGCAATGGTTTCCTTCAAAGAATCTCTGATTGCTTTGTAAACATTTAGAAACAGCCTTACAAAAGTACCAGAAGATACACAGAAACCAAGCTAAAGAGAAGTTAAACAAGTTATTCATGCTAATTCTCTTCCAGACGAGCTGCTTTCACTCATCTTACAGACCTCCAGTTACCAAATTACCAGCCCCATGACAGATCTTCACCACATCCTCTTAAAGCTTATCCCAGAAAGGTACCTCATGGGAAATAAGGGTTGGAAATCTCAACCGCGTAGATAACATCATGCAGTTAGTAACTGTCCCTGCGCTAAGCAGTGTCCACTTCAAGTCAGGGAGATGCCAGTGCCTGCAATGTTAACGAGCAGAGACACCCTGCTGACAGAACACCGCTTTTGGCCACTCCGTTGTCAATAGCACGGCTGCACAGCTCCTGGCGACAGAAGAAAATTGTAACTATACCCCGAGTGCCGAGCTTGACACTGTTCTGATTCGCATTGTGAGACCTGCCAGGGGAGCTGACGTTGGCAGCTCACACGCGTGAGCTGCCTGTCCAGCCAACAGCGGTATGGTGGTGGATACGTTAAGCCAGCAAAATCGTGTTTCTGATAACGGCCACGTGGTTCAGAGAACAGGGATAAACTACGGCAGGAAATCAAGTCTTCTACTGGTATCATCGCTGTCTAACATCGTCTACAACAAGGACAGGTTTACTCTGGAAACGTGTAAGTGTAAGCAGTTTTGACCTCATCTGACGGTAAACATGTAGGCAGGTGCCTCCAGTGGAGACAGCAGCAAGACCGTACTTTAAGGTTTCCTAATTTCTGGTTGATGCAGTAGTGGGGTTACAAAACAAATGCAAAGGAGAACAGGCAGGGCAAAGCCGTGCTCAGAGCGCTTGTGCACAGCACGTGCTCGTGCTCCTGTGCCACCGAAACGATCTCGGAGCAGAGGAGGGCTTGGAGGGCCAGGTGGTCCTGCCTAGTCCGGGCGACGCGCCTCCTCCGAGCAGGCACGATACCGACTCCTGCAGTGAAAACCAGACGCGTTTCACATCTTCCCGACGCTGAGCCTCACCTCTTGCCACAGTCATGGTCGCGCTCTCCTGCAGGGAGGTCTTGAAGGACTCAAACCCGAAGACCTTCCGCAGGGTTTTCCGGACCCTGCCTTCCAGGCCCGGGGGAGCCTCGCCGCTCATCTCAGAGCTGTGAACAGCGACGGGAACCCACGCTAAACCCCAACGCCCCGTCCCGTGCCCGCCTGCGCGGCCTCCCCGTGGCTGCCCCGCCAGGCTCCCCCCGTTTGTGTAGCCCCCCAGGATGCTATCCAGCCCCCCTCACTGGAGGGGACCCCAATATCGTTTATTCTGGGGCAGCCCC